GCCACCACTCCCACTGCTCCCACTACCGCCACCCCCACCGCTGCCTCCACCGCCGCCACCAAAGCCCCCACTCCCGCCACCACTCCCACCGCTGCCACCACCTTCGCAACCTCCACCACCTCCACTTCCGCCCCCACCACCACCCCTGCTTCCACCTCCACCACTCCTGCCACCCTTGCCCTTGCTGCTGCGGCACTTCCCACTAAGAGCAGAAGCAGCCCCGACATCGGCAGCACCAGGGATGTCAATAGCAGCAGCAGAGGCGTAGGAGGGGGCAAGGGGGGAGGGGGAACACCCCTCAAAGAAGGGCGTGCAAGGAGTGCCACGAGCAGCACCTATAGCGACTATGCTAGTCTCAGCTGCAAGGAGGTGCTGCTCAAGTAGGTCGACAGTGAGGTCTGTGGGGTCAAGAGCGAGAAAGTGGTCCCTGAAAGCGCGAAGAGAGTCGGGGAGGCGGGTGACTATGAAGTAGAGAGTGATATACATCGGGGGCGGGTTCCTGCCAAGGAACTCTGCTGGGAGGGCAGCGCGGTAGCGAGCGTCTCTAGTGCGAAGGTGGGTGACGAGGTCCTCTACCGTGGCAAAGGTGGACAGCTCTGGAAACAGGTAGGGCAGTAGAAGACGGCCTAGAGCAGCAGTAGCAGGGGAGGAGTAACGAGCGACTATAGTGTCGTACAGTGCTTTAGCAGTCTTGTGCTGTCCGAAGTGAGAGCGTTTGGCTAACGGCAGGTGGTTGCGAACGGCTAAGCGTGCAGCAGCGTCACGGGTAAGCCACTGTGAGCTAGTCGCACTGTCAGCTGTGGCGGGAGGGGCGAGAGAGGCTCCATACGTGTGGTCAAACAATGAAACGCTGTCTCTAGAATCGCTCAGTAGGTACAGCTGTAAGTCGTCGAGCCACGTATCGAACTGGATCGGACGGCCCTCATGATTGAAAGTGAGTACACTGAGAGAAGCCATAGCAGGCAGAGCAAGGTGGCTCGATCACTAGGGATGCGAGCAGTGCAGGGCAGGGCGGCGCACAGCAGGACGGGCAGTAGACGGGCGGCGCAAGCAGCAGGGTGGGCAGGAGCCTGGCGGCGCAAGTAGCAAGGCGGGCACGCTGGCTGCAAAAGGGGCGGCAAGCGGGCTGCAGAGGGCGGCGCGTGGGCTGCAAAGGGGGGGGCGGCAAGCGGGCCGCAAGGGGCGACGAGCGGGCTGCAAGGCTGGCGAGCGAGCTGCAGGCAGGCGGCAAGCGGGCTGCAGGCAGGCGGCAAGTGGGCTACAGGGGCGGCGAGCTGGCCGCAAACGGGCGGCAAGCGGGCTGCAGAGGCGGCGAGCGGGCCGCAGGCAGGCGGCGAGTAGGAGGCAGGGGCGGCGAGCGGGCCGCGAGCAAGCGGCGAGCGGGCGACAGGGGCGGCGAGCGAGCTGCAGGCAGGCTGCAAGCGGGTGGCAGGGGCGGCGAGCGGGACGCGAGCAAGCGGCGAGCGGGCGGCAGGGGTGGCGAGCGAGCCGCAAGCGGGCGGCGAGCGGGCCGTAGGGGCAGTGAGCGGGCCGCAAGGGCGGCGAGCGGTCCGCAAGGGCGGCGAGCAGGCCTAGGGGCGGCGGGCGGGCCGCAAGTGGGCGGCGCGTGGGCTGCAGGGGCGGCGCGCGGGCCACAAGTAGGTGGCGAGCGGGCTGCAGGGGCAGCGCGCTGGTTGCATGGGCGGCTCGTGGGCTGCTAAGGGCGGCGCGACGAGCTGCTAGGGGCGGTGCAGCGGCCAGAAGTGCGGCGCGTCAGTAGGTTAGGGCGGCAGGGCAGCTAGTGGGGCAGCTCTGTGGTGGGCCCTAAAAAAAAATCGGTCCTAGGGAAGGACCTGCTCTGAAACCATGTCAAACCAACGAACGAGAATGGATGAGCTATGAAAGAGTTTGGTACAACTACTAACCCTAAATGGGTTGTTCCGCTTATGGACTACCCCCCACTATAGCCTATACAAAGTAATAAATGTAACATTTTGACACTTGCTTTGCTTCTCTTGACTGGTCTTGTGACCACTTGTTCTCGCCCACTTTGCCTATGGGGGTGTGTCAAAATGTCATAATGCTTACATTGTGTAGGCTGTAGTGGGGTAGCCCATGAGGGGTACAGCACAATTATGAGTAGTACTTGTACCAAGTTTAAGTTCAATGTATTCATTCTCGTTCGGTATTCTGACACTCTCGACTGTTCACTAACCTCTCAGAGGTTATGGGTTTTTGCAATTAGGTATTATGCGCGCACCTTTGTATATTCAGTAAGAGGACGTCATTGTCAAGACCTTTGTTGTAGTTTCACAAACGTCTTATAATAATTGTATGAATGTTATTGTGAGATACCAGTGGGTGTTTGTAATCTCCCTCTGGACAGCCCGTTATCATCCCATGTCGAACACCATTTACAGTAAGATAAGCAGACCTGAAAACAGTTAGTTCCAAGAGGACTGCGTCTAAGGAAGAGAGTATAGACAGTATCGCGTATCATGATAGCGCGCACCATGATATTTGGCGAATACGGGATGGACAGCGCGACAAAGTCCAGCAATTCTACTCTTAAAATTCCTGGTGGCACGTGTCTGATTTGGCTTGGTGATGTCAGCTTGCCCTTTCTTACACTGATGAGCCACGCGCCCAGCTGCTCTACGTGTACGTGGACAGCGTGTCCCTGCAGTTTTCCACACCCGAGAACATGATCCTTCCCAAAAACCTGCGAGCAGGATGGGCTGGTCAGGTCAGGTGAGACTGACCAGACTGTAATTGAAGCAAAGCCTTTGTTTGAATGGCTTTCCACAAGGCACGCAAAGATTTGGGGTAAGTAGATATGGAGGGAGTACTACTAGCGAACCTTTTATCTCATGAATTTTTCATCGCTAGTTGAGGACACTTTCCGCAGTAACACCCCTCAGACAGGAAAATTATTGTGACAACTCAGGAATTCGCTCCAAAATAATCCACGTGTCACAAATTCAAGAGATGTCAAAATTTCGGGGCAAAAAAAATAACACCCCTAGGGACCTGGACCCATTTTCGGGAAGGATCAACCCTAAACACAAGAAAAGGGCATTTTTTAGGGTTGATGCCTCCCCGAGTCGTGTCCCTTTCCGATTGGGTTTTAGTTTGTTTGGGTCAGGTGGGGTGCAAAACATTTTCTAATGCTGCGAAATTGTGACACGTGGATGAACGTGGAGCGGATTCCTGAGTTGTCGCAATAACTCTCCTGTCTGAGGGTAGGAAGAGCGGAAAGTGTCCCCAAGTAGCGAATCTCCCGTCAAAGCGCAGGGTTCCCAGTAATGTTCCCTTCATATCTGAAAACCCAAATATTTGTCTATTCTCCGTCATGTCATGTCTCTCACATGGTTTCCAGAAGAGCGTAACCCAGTTCAAGTGTTGTACTGTACTGGAAGTCATAAAAATGTTGTGGATTAATTTTATTGTTTCACCACCGACAACCCAGTGCCTAGCAGTCCAAGTCCAGGCAGGGTTGCACGTACCCTGAAGACATTGTTCGTTAACACTTCCCACCGGCACAACTATTTTACAACGAGTCTCAGCTGCAGCCATGTTTGGCTCATGATGCTGGGCCAATACACCACGTCCACCAAGTCGAAGATGCTGTACATCACGGCAAGTGAACAGAAGCCTCTCGCACCAATCGGAAGAGAATCGCGTTCCGCCTTCCACTTCTCTGCCCACCCCCATCATTTCTCCCAAACCTCTTCCAGGCAAAAAATGTTTCACCTACCCGTCTGCGTGGACGTTCCACATATGTCTCCCCACCTCGAAGTGTATACAGTACTTTCCCCCTCCCTCGCCCCTGCACTGCACACACATCCCCTGTCCCGGTCCCCCCCTTCCCCCTTCCCCCTTCCCCTCCTCCGACTCCCCCCCGCCCCGACCACATGACAAGATCTCGTTCCCCTCTTATGGCGCACCTTTACACGCACAGGTCCTACTTTCCTGCCAGCCCTGGGTTGATATTTCCCACCGACCTCCATTTCTCCTTTCATTACGCCTCCTGCTTGTCCTTCCTTCCTGCAAGCAGAGCGGAGTGTGCTGCTGTGCAGGGATAGGTCAAGCTATACTCGCCCAGCAGATGTGCCTTGCCAATCAGAAATGCCACTCACCTCAACTCTAACCGTCTATGGCACCACATTGACGTCCAAATGAGTGAGTGTGGTGGGGTGAGGAGGAAGAAGGGGATACGCCTACGCGTACTCTTTCAGTCTGCAGGACTCCACCCCACCCACCTCGCAGTTGCACCTTACCAGCTGTGCGGGGAAGAGAAGTTGTTATCATTCACCACCATCCAGTCGTAAAGACTGATTTTTGAATCGACTCAAAAATCTTCCCAGTTGCACCAGAGACAACTGGCCGTAGGAGGAAGAGTAGCATAATTATTATCCACCACCATCCATTCGGAAAGACTGCGTTGACGGCCCGCATATTTGCTCCTAAAATTAAAAACTTTCGAGGCGCATAAGCAGCAGCGCACCGGAACTGCAGCAGTTGGCACATTCGCAGCCATGGCGTGCGGGATGAGCTTCATGGATGCCCTTCGAGTCGCGGCAAAGACGAAAGACGCTCCGTCTGAGTGGTTCGAGCATCAACCCACGTGGCCCACGAATTCCTTCCCCAAAGATAAAACCAGCCCCGAGCCCGTTTCAGCGACGAACCTTCCCATGCCGAACATCCAGATGCCGGGCCTCCCCATGATGCCGAGCCTTCAGGCGCCAAGTCCAAGAAAGCGAAGGCAATGCGGCCCGGAGACGCCTCGAAAAACCCGCTCCGAGTCGCCTGCTGCCGCAGATTCTACCGATGATTTCGCGGATCTTAACAATGCCGCTCCAAGGACTAGTAATAGCGAGGATTTTTTTAGATTTATTCAAGATCCTGCCTCTGACGCTTCCGTGGGACCCGCAGAGGGCGCCGGTTCTGCAAATCTTGACAACGCGGTTCCAGGATCTGGCAGGGAGAGAGAGGGGGGATATCCACATGCCGAGCCTGCTATGATTTTCTGCAACGACTGGCCTGCATACTGTCGAACAGAGACGCCGCGACCTACTAGCGCCACGGCTCAACACGGCGCTATCACCGCCGCGCAATGCGGTGCTACCGCTTCGGTTGCTGGACCGGCCACGAAGCGCTCGCCTCGACCGCCGCGCCGTCGCGAGACCCGTCAGCATCCGCTAACGCCGAAGGCTCGCACTCTCTCGTGGGGAATGATGCGGGCGCCGGCTGCGGCGGAAGCAGATCCCGCCGATGAGTCCGCTCCTCCGCCAGTTTGCTTGACATCCTCCCCCGTCTCCGCCGCCTCCCCCGCCTGTTCCGCCTTCCCCGCTTCCCCCAAGCTGCTCGTTTTGCCGGATTCCGCCTTCTTCCCTTCCCCGCGCATCTCCGAAGCGCGTTTTACCTCCCCCAAGACAAGCACGCCCGCGCCTTTTGAGCCGCCTCTAAACACTGCTTCGCGGCCTCCGGCCTTTCGTTCCCCGCCATCTCCGCGGGCGTGTGGCACTGCCTTCGAGGCGCCGCAAAAGTGTGGCACTTCCTCGTGTCCGCTCCTCGTCGAGCCGCGACTGCCCCGAGCGCGCACGTGTGACGTTGCCGCGGATAGCGGCGGCAGATCGCCAGCCGCCTCCGCGTGCGCTGCCGCCATCCGCGGAAAATCGCCCGCCTCGGGTTACTCCCCCGCCGCCGTTTCCCCCGCATCCGCATGTGCAACGACTGGCGCCGTTGACCGCGTTGACCAAGTCAACAGCCACGCGTCGACATGCGAATGGCCTGATGCTGCGTGCACGGAGACGTTGGACATCCCGCCATGGGTGCGAGAAAAGCTCTCCCTTTTCCGCGCGGAAGAGGCGCAGAAGAATGAGCTGGCCGCGATCGCATGCAACCCGCGACACGCGCGCGGCAACGACCGCTGCCTCTCATGCAGCAAGCCCGAACCGCACGCCGGTATGGATAGTCGGCTTGGCCCCATAGACCGCGCGGCGATGGGGGACGGCGAGAAGCGAGGGCGACGCGTCGAGTGCGGCGGCGAGTGCGGCAGCGAGTGCGCAGAGATTCGAAGCCGCGAGAGGGACGCGGACGGCGAGAAGCCGAGCTTGTGGGACATCATGCAATGGGAATCCGATATGATCTCGTCCGTCTGCTCGACTGCCACTGCTAAATCTCCCAGACCACCGTTCTTTAAGAGTTCAACATTTGAGGCGCCGCAAAGGTCGCTCTCTAAGCGGCACCGCTCCGCGTCTGCTCTCCCCACCACTCCGCCTCCCACGCCGTCTGCGTCTAAAGCGTCGCTGACGATCCAGATCTGCGACGACGCGAGCGCCAACGGCGGAGATTTATCGTTTTTCGAGGAGCTGCTGCTGGAGTTCGGCGCGGGTGAGGGGGAAGAGGCGGGCGGAGAGATGGAGGAAGAACCGGGATGGGCGGAAGAGATGTGCATTCCGGCGGAAGCAACAGCTCAGTTTGAGAAGGTTGCGCCGGTTGTTCCAGAGCTAGACGACAAGTGGGGTGATTATTCGGAAAAAATGGAAGATGTGGGGAAAGCTGACGGCGGAAAGGGGTTAATGATCGACGGGAAGAGCATTTTCGAGCGGATTCAAGTAATTGGGGACGAGGGGGCGGAGATGGGGGACGAAGCGACGGGGATGGCGGAGGATGGAGTGGAGATGACGGATGAGGGCACGGTGGCGGACGAGGCGGAAATTCCAACCAATAAACTACCGCATGATCAACCTCCTGCTGCCAGGAAATTGTTGAGTGTTCAGCTGGAGCGGAAACAGCGGGAAGTGGGGGAGGCAGACGCGGAGCAGCAGAACGCGCCACAGTGTGGTTCACCCTTCCGTTCCAATTCTCTGAGCGCCCCTGCTAGCGGATTCGCGCAGATGTGGTCGGAAGCGTGGGTGGACGACGCGGACGCGGAAATACCAGGGCTGGCGGGGAGCTGCGTGTTCCGACCGTGACTAGAGAAAAAAATTCGTGGTTGAGCTGTTCGCGCTACAAGCTCCTGCCCTAATAAGATGTTATACTGGCGATGCTCTGGTTCCAGAAGTGAAGCATCGAAGTGCTCTGGTGCCACTGCTGCTGTTACACTCGAGGAGTTTCAACTACAGCCACAGTGCCCGCTACAGTTACAAACTGCGTCGGCTGTGCTTCTCACTACATTGTTGGGATGGTGCCATGACATCATCACCTCCTGATGCCAGGAGGATGAGAGCACAATGAGATTTGTTGAGTTGATTTGTGATGACATCATCGCTCTGGCTATGATTTGGACCAGGCAGGGAGCTCTACTAGAGCCCTTTCCTCCACCTCACTCCTCTCAGCTCCCAACCTTGCTCCTCCTTGTCACCACTTGCCTCACTCATTACTTTGCTCCTGACTCATTACTTATTACTTGCCTGTCACAATGCCTCTCTCCTTGCATTGCTTCACCTTGAACCACATATACCATTTCCCCCTCTCCCCACACTCATCACTCGCCCCTCCTCACCATCCCCAGCCTCACACCACAGCTCTGTCCCGAGTCCTCTCGTGTGCCTTCAACAGCACACCCATTCTTAAATTCGCCTACAGAGGAAGGATTTCATTGCTGGTTGATTTCTGTTTAAATGTTTCCGTTGCCCAGCCGGAAGGTGGCCTCTTTTGTATACCTACCCAGTTTCTCTTCACTGCATTGAAAAGACGGTAACTGGTGCTGCTGTTCCATTGTGGTACATATGCCATTCACATCTTCTGTAATGTACCGGTAATGACCATCAAGAGCAGTAATTGTCAGTGACTGACAGCTTTCCATGCAGAATGTTTGCATTGCAGTCAGTAACTGCTCGGGATAAACCTTTTTCAACAAACCAAACCAAGCCAACAGCCCTGAAGCAGAGACCACCAGAATACCAATGGTACATTGAATCTACAGCACAGTTGATGACATCCACTGTATGATGAACATACATTGGTTTATCACATTGGCTGTACAGACAGATACAGTGAATGTACAGCATAGTTTATCACATCCACTGTACTGACAGTTAACAATACAACAACCTGACAGTACAATGTAGTACCTCTACTGCTCACTATCGAGGCCAAAAGCCCGGATGTAAAACTCAAAGCGCTGCTTCTCCTGCTGCTTATCCAGCATTGTGTCTTCCCACTTGTAGTGGTGCCGAGGACGCTTCTCCTGAGGGGGTGAGGAAGAACAGGAGTGAGAAAAGGGGGTGTGTGAGCAGGGGTGAGGAAGAACAGGAGTGAGAAAAGGGGGTGTGTGAGCAGGGGTTTGAAGCAAGAGGAATGGGAAAGGGGAGAAAAAACTAACAAGAACATTTCCCCCATCCTCCCATCATCTCCCCCTCCCCTATCCCCACCTTGGAGCTGGCCGCCAGGTAAGCACGCATCTTATCCGCCACGTCATCGTCCAGCTGGCACTTGAGCAGATCTCGGTAGATGCGGCGCACCGTAGCCATCGGATCGGCCACGAGATCGCTGTAGCGCACATCAACGGCCTGGGATGACCGCAGAGCCAGAGTGCTGTCAACTGTTGACAACTCGTTACTGCTGTCACCACTGTTGCTACCATTGCTGATGCTGCTCCTGCTTACACCATTGGGTGAAGAACCATTGCTGCTGCTTCCGTTGCTCACAGTACTGCTCACACTTCCCTCCACCTCATCTCCTTCCCCTTTCCTCTTCACCTTCGTTACAGTCACATAGCCCTTCAAGCCATTTGTACGCTCCCTCTCTTCAGTCACTTCTTCTTTCCCCTCTGTGCCTGACCCATCAATCCCCCGCAGCCGCATCATTTCAGTCAATGGGAGATCTGGGGGCAGGACGGAAGGGAAAGCAGTGGCAAAGGGCAAATTTCGAGGAAAGGGAGATGAGTGAGAGAGGAGGCGATTGATGAGGAGGGAAAGGGGAGGCAAAGGGCGCCTAAGAAAACGATCGATGCATGTTCAGCTTTGATATTGGATACGACTGAAAACACTGAATATGTTCTTTAGCAGAACAATGACAACCTCAGCGTTACCTCTGATTTATCAACATGGTCTGAGTGAATGCTCCTTACTCCCCTTATAAGGCTATGTGCCGACGCCAACACAGTCAACGGGTTCCTGGCGGGATAAATAAAAGATACATAGACAGGATTCAGAAAACGAAAGCATGTGGGAAAACGTCTGAAAAGAGAAGGCACTTTATCCCCCTATAGTAAACTGTGAGTGAAGAGAGGGTCTCTCCCTCCCTCCCACACACACAAACACACACACACACACACACTGTGGCTCCTCATCCTCCTAAGAAATTTGCAACTGTTGAGACGCCTCAAAAGTCGCCCTCCCTCCCCCACACACACACCGTGGTCCCTCATCCTCCTAAGAGATCTGCAACTGTCTCCCTGCCCCCCACCCCCGAACCCTTCTCTTTCCCAAACCTCAAACCCGTATGTGCAGTTCAGCTTGGCATCAGGAACAGCAGCCATGCGTGAGGGCAGAGAGAAGAGGTGAGCCGGGCACTTGAGCAGCCACCGGGGTGCCTTGGGTCCACACCATTGCAGGTACTGCAACTGCAGGTGTACTTGCTTCCCATAACCCCTAAATTTAAACCCACCCCTTCCGCTAGCCGTTATCCCCTACCCCAGCCCAATATCTCATCACCTCTCACCTGTGTGTGAAGATGAGTTTGGCGTCGGGGAAAGCGGTCATAAGCGCAGGCAGGGAGAAGAGGTGTGCCGGGCACTTGAGCAGCTAGCGTGGGGCTTTAGGGCCGCGCCACTGCAGGTACTGCAGCTGCCAGCGCAGGAGGCGGTAGGTGGGGGAGAGATCTGAGGAGAGGTACCATCGAAAGTAGGAAGGGATGTTGAAGTGGATGGTGGGGAAGGCGAAGGACGTGAAATCGTACCTGGTGGGGCATGGCACGGGGGACAGAGGATGGGAGGTTGGGCGGGTTGATTGGCATCTCAAAACTCAAAGCTCGTACTTGGTGCAAGAAAAGCGAACGGAGAATACACTCACTCGCACCATGAGAAGTGTACATTGGTGACGGCAATAACAAGGATTATGATCCTCCGTACACTGGTCGTTCGTTCACGTTCAGTGAATGAACGACCAGTGTTTAGGGGGTCAAAACGAGGGGATGAGATGAGCCAGAGCCAGAGGAGATTATCATGCAAAGAAAATCTTTTTCCTCCCCACATCATCAGCACCCCGCGATTCACATTAATGACAATTCGCATCAATGATAAAAGGGGGCCATGGTCACTTACATCATGAGTCCCATGCACTCCTGTGGCCCTGTTGCTGTCACGGGATGCAAGGCCTGCAAGGGGCAGGTTGGAAGGGGTGGAGAAGGATCGGGAAGGGTGGGGAAGGTATTAAGGGCAATATGAGTTCCAAGATTTGACCAGGAAAGAGCACCTCTTATCACCTCCTTTCAGATAATATGAAATGTAGAAGACAGAATAACGCACCTCACTTTGCACAACAGTACACACCTGGAAGGAAGGAAGCAGAGCAGAAACACCCTCCAAAAAAGCCTCTGTCTCCCCAATGCGTTTATCAGTGTGGTAGCAGGTGACGTCCGGGGAAGGGTGCATGTGATTCATCTAATGCCCGAACACTACCATCTAAGGAACTCAATACCCGATGCGTTTGTCCGAGTCATGACAGGTGGCATCCGGGGGAGGGTGCATGTGATGCACCTCCCATGTGAGCGGCGAGCGGCAAAGAGAGCACACAGCAGCACCACCCACCTGGAAGGAAGGAAGCAGAGCAGAGACACCCTCCAAAAAGGCTTCTGTCTCCCCAATGCGTTTATCGGTATCGTAGCAGGTGGCGTCCGGGGGAGGGTGCATGTGATGCACCTCCCATGTGAGCGGCGAGCGGAAGAGCGATGTGTCGAGGGCGAGGAGGTTGAAGAGAAATGTTGTTCCTGTTCGAGGCAGACCTAGGATGAATACAGGGGCCTGCTTATAGCGGGGATAGGAAGGGCAGGAGAGGGAAGCGGAAGAGCGATGTGTCGAAGGCGAGCAGGTTGAAGAGGAAGGTGGTGCCTGTGCGGGGCAGACCTAGGATGAAGAGATGGGCTTGCTTATAACGGGGATAGTTGAGAAGGGGGATACAAGGGTCGAAAGGAAGGGGGAGAGAGTTGGAAGAGGGAAGAGTCAAGGGCAAGGAAGGAGGATGATGGGAAAGGGTGTTCTGAGAATCATTTTTGAGAATTCTCGGAAATGATTTCCATGGGGTTGAAAGGAAGGGGGAGAGAGAGTTGGAGAGGAGGCGTCAAGGGCAAGGACGGAGGTTGACGGCCAAGGGTGTTCTGATGCGTGGCAGACGCAATATGAACACAAGCGCCTGCTTGTCGTGCGCCATTGTAACGAGGTGACTTTTGAGTCGACTCAAAAGTCACCTGATGCGTGGCAGACGCAATATGAACACAAGTGCCTGCTTGCAAGGGATACGACGGGGTGCATGAGAGGCTGAGAGAGGGGGACCAACTACCCTCATCCCCCCACACGCACCTCGATCTTCTCCTCCTCTATCTCTGGGTGTCGCCTCCTTGTGTCCTCCAGATGCAAGCGGTAGCGCAGCAGGCGCTGGGGGGAGGGGGGAAAAGGGGGGAAAGCGGGGGAGCGGGTGGTGACAGAGGTTCAGAACCAAAGCGAGAGGGCGAGGAGGTCATGGCATGGGAGAGATAATAGACCGTTGCACCTTTCTCAACATTTTTACTGTACCAGTACGCCATGATGCTCTAAGTCAACCATTTACTGTACATATAAATTCACTGTACCTGTACATCGTTCCATATAAGAATCCTCCCAAACGCGCTCAGTCTCGCCTCCTCTTCGAGACCCTTCAATAGAAGCCGCAGCCCCGTCAGGAACGTCCCCTCGCCATAGTCACGCAGTCCCGTGGCCTTGTACGCGGCGCGCAGCACCGCGCGTTCCTCTAACGGGAGGAGCCACTGCAGCAGGCGCGTCGCGAGCGGTGGGAGGAAGAGAAAGCCGCAGAGCGCGTCGACGAGCCGCGTGGCGAAGTTGACGAAACGGGCGAAGAGGGGAAGGAGGTAACGACGCATGGCGAAGGATCGTGTCGCGAGTGACCAAGGGCAACTACGGAACAACGACCACTAAGGAGCGACGGCTACGGAGCGGCGGAGAGACGGGAAAGGAACGAGGAAACGACGGGAGAGACGGGGCGACGGGAGCGACGGGAGCGACTGATTCAGACCCTCTAATAAAAAATCATCCCTCTCCTCCGCCTTCGCTTTAAAAGGCGTCACGGCGAAACGCAGAACTTGTCTTGTGTGCCTCCGCCCCGATGGACTCTGTCCGTATCCCATGCTCGCGCGCCTTGTTACTATTCCCCAGAAAGTTTCGCCGGGCGGTGGCGACGCGGCGTCGTTCGCTGTCAGCAAGGCTCAATCGACACGACCATGGTGGCTCTGCTCGGTTTATCTGGGTTCGGCTCGGTTAGGCTCAATTTAGTTCGGCCACACGATGAGCCATCGGAACACACGATAGGGCTCGTTCGGCCATCTCAGGTGACGAAACGAGGCGATGCCTCGACTCCACCGGAGTTCGGCTCGTTCGGTTATGTTGACATGTCGGTGACACGAGAACGGGTGACGAGGAGGGTTGTGGTGACGAGACGACGACGCTAAGAGCGTGCAGTGCAAACGGCAGTGCATGAGCACGGACCAGCAAGAAACATTCTTCGCGACTCGGTGGAGGACATGCAATGCAACATTAGCGCCGCCGCTAAGACCATGCATGATAATCTCCGCAACTTTTTCACCGAGCGAACCAAGGCGACCTTGATTGGAAACTAGGTCCGTACGTCTGCGGTATTAGCAAGCCTCTATCGAGTTTGGCGAGGTGATTTACTGAGAATAATGGGGTGAGGAGCATAAGGATACTAAACAAATCTCCCAAGATCACCTACCGTACTATACACCAGCATCAGACAAGCCTTGGTCTCAGCCTATCAATTAGACTCGGGTCATGGACATGGCTAATATTCATCCACTTAACTAATGCAAACTGCAACGGCTCAGCAATCCCAAAATTCTTATGGTAAAATACACCTCTTACCTTTTTGGGTCCAACAATTTTCCTAGGACAGCTTTTGAATCTGGGCCGCTTCTTGAAAATAGGCGAACTCTTCATAATGCCCAGATCGTTGCTGTTATAGTTGAAGAATTTCGCCGAGCGGGAGGTTACGTTAATATGCCGATGCGTGTTTAATTTGGGTGTGTTTGGAAGCTTCTCCTCACAGTAACGAAAATTCATGTTGGCATCTTGCACGTCGACCAACACCAGGTCGATGTAATTATTTGTGGGCAGCCCGCTGCACTTGCCTGTCTCCGAATCTTTTAGAGTGCCTGGCGTGATTGTGTTACACTTCACCCCGTTAATAGATGTCTCGTTACAAATTCTCTTCATCCACGGCCATTTCTGAAAGACAGGATTGCAACAAAGGAAAAACAAGAAGATAATACTAGTAACCAGAACAAACTAACATAATAAAGGAAACAGAGTGGAGAGTAGCGAGGGTTTCATAGATTGGATTGGATGGATGTGGACTGGTAAACCTACTCAATAGAAGCAAACAGAGGAGAAGAGCACTGTTGTTGCACTTGCAGCAGTTGCACACGGTGCTAAAAGATTACCGAGTTGGCTCATAAGGGGGCAATACCTGCTGAATCACAGTGTTGCCCGGCGTCCTTGAAGCGGTTGCACACCGTTCAGAAATATTACCGAGTTGGCCTATAAAGGGTAAATACCTGCTGAAACGCGGCAGTGCTGTAGTAATTGGCTCGCATGCGGTCCCAGTAGTTGCCAGGGTCTTTTAGGCAGTTGCAGACTGCTCTAGAACATCTTATGAGTTGGGTTATAAGGGGTACAAGACCCACCTGCTGAAACACGGCGCTGCTGTAGTACTTGGCTCGCATGCGGTCCCAGTAGTTGCCCGGGTCCTTGAGGCAATTGCAGAGGGTGGCAGTGATGCACGTGCACCACCCCGGCGCGCCCTCCGTGCCCTTCATCACCACATGCTCTATGCGGTTCCTAAGGAGGGAAGAGAGGGCGAAACGGCAAGGGATGGTCATGCAGTAGGATATAGGGTGATAGAGTGGCAGTAAGGCCCGTGCACCACCCTGGTGTGCCCTTTGTGCCCTTCAACACCACGTGCTCTATGCGGTTCCTACAGAGGGCAGCGGGGCAAGAGGAGCAAGGGATGGGGAACGCGGAAGAATCCAGGGGGACACAATGCCAGGCCAGTGCCCTTCATCACCACGTGGGAGATATGGTCCCCGTGGGGGAAAGAGCAAAGGATGGGAAGCGCAGTAGAATGTAAGGGGACATGACACACACCCATGACTCACCATTCCCCATTGCTGACCCACCAATTCCCATTGCTGAATCAACCTTTTCCATCGCTAAATCACCATTCCCCATTGCTGAATCACCATTCCCCATTGCTGAATCACCATTCCCCATTGCTGACACACCATTCCCCATCGCTGACTCACCATTTCCCGTTGTTGACCTTCATGCCATCCACAGTCCCGATACAAGCCCCTCAACGTATAGTCACACCCGAGCTGGCGTAGTCGAGGTAGTAGCAGTGGTCACCCCCAATTATGTAGTTGCACTCCGCCAAATTACCCGGGTTAATCCAGTGCGTTACGAAGTATATCCCCGTGGCGTCAAACCCCCCTGTGAGGTTCCGCCCTGCTGCCACAACGAGGTTGTTGGAGATGGTGCTGAGCATGCAGTCACCCTGTAGAATAGGGGTAAACGGAGGAAGGGTGCAAGTGGGGAAGAGAGAGAGTTAGAGGTGGAAGAGGTTCCGCCCTGCTGCTACAACGAGGTTGTTTGCAATGGTGCTGAGCATGCAGTCGCCCTGGGAGGGTAGGAGTTGGGAAGGGGAAACGAAGGGAGGGGAGGGGAAGAGAGGGGACAAGGCAAAGCGGGGGGTGTTGAGGTTCCGGCCTGCTGCTACCACAAGGTTGTTGGATATTGTGCTGAGCATGCAGTCTCCCTGGGAAGTGGGGGAAGGAACGAGGGGAAGGGGGCAAGTGGGGAGGAGGGAGTGAGAGGGGGTTGAAGAGGTTTTGCCCTGCTGCTACAACGAGGTTGTTGGATATGGTGCTGAGCATGCAGTCTCCCTGTGGAAGAGGAGGGGAAACGAACGGGGGCAAGGGGCAGAGGGAGAATGAGAGGGTGAAAGTTGCTTGAGATGATGCTCAGCATGCAGTCGCCCTGAGAGAAGGGCTGCTGTTCCTTCCTGTCCTGTCGCCTCACGTGGTGGCTCCAAGTCAACCACGTGAGGAGACAGGCACGAGCAGGATCCCTCACTTGCCACACACACGACTTTTGAGGTGCCTCAAAAGAACCTCGTGGCTGTTCCTGCCTGTCGTGTCGCCTCACGCAATGGCTCCAAGTCAACCACGTGAGGAGACAGGCACGAGCAGCATCCCTCACTTGCCACACAGCCACGTCCCGTACCTGAACTGAACCTTCCACGCACCTTCCCTCACCTGTGAGTGCACTATATTGCCGCACGTGATTGCAGCAAACACGAAGTCATGCACGCACTTGTGCTTAGCCACCGGCCCCACCGTGCGAGGTGTGTTTTGAGTCGACTAAAAAAACACCTTCCCTCACCTCCACACTGCCGCATGTGGGGGCAGCAAACACGAAGTCATGCGCTTAGTTGTTCTTAACCACTACCATCCTTTGACTAGAGTATAAAAACAAAATAACCTTCCCTCACCTGCTAGTGCACCTTGTTCTGAGGCGCCTCAAAACCCTATCCTCACCTGCGAGTGAACCATGTTGCCGCACGTGATGGCAGCAAACACATAGTCGTGCACATAGTTGTTCCTGACCACCGCTCCCACCGTGCCCACGTGTAGCAGCACTGGCATGTACACGCCTGGGAAGGTGGAGTGGAGAAGGGTGGAGAGAAGTGACAACGGGAAAGAGGGAGAAAATATTTCAGAGTGAAGGCACGTTCCAACCGACCATTGAGGAAAAAGCAATGACCAGGAGATAGGAGGGTGGCACGTTGCTTTGAGGCATTCGGCTAATGGAGGAACAAGCGGGGATGCAAGTGAAGAAGATCATCCCGTTTTTTCTTTTGTTTGCTGGCTGCAACACCACGAACGGTGGTACAGAAGGGCGGTACCCAGCCCTTATTGTGATGTGGTGAGGGCGGTACCCTGACAATAAGGGCTCATGATGCTTGTCCAGGCCCTCACCACATCACAATACACCCCACCCCACCCAACCCCAACCCACCCCACCCCACCCCACCCCAACCCACCTGCACCCAGTACATCAACTCCTCCTACCGTAGATCTCACTATTGGTGATGTAGATGTAAGAGCGCACCAGCAGCAGCCCATACCCCATGCAGTGGCAGCAAGCAAGGGGTACCGCACCACACCACACTGCACCCCACCCCAACCCATCAACTCCTCCTACCATAGACCTCATTGTTGGTGATGTAGATGTAAGAGCGCACCAGCAGCGGCCCATACCCCGACAGCATCACTCGAATCACTCCATTGCCCCTCTTGAAATCCGACACGCCTGTCATCCTCATGCTGTCAATGCGGCTGTGCATCGTGCGAATCACGTCTACTCGACCAAACGTGTAGCCCTGAATGTGGTGGGGAAGAAGAGAGAGGGTGCGAGGCAGGAGTGTGTTTGTCCAAAAGAACAAAAGAGCCTGTGGATTCTGCGGCTGCGGCTGTGAACAAAAGAACAAAAGAGCCTGCGGCTGTGCATGCTGCGAACCATGTCCACGCGGTCAAACGTGTAGCCCTGAAGAGAAAGGGGGAGAGTGAAGAGGAGAGGGGCGTGTAGAGAGGCAGAGTTGCCTCTAGAGTCATTGCGCCTATGCATCGTGCGAATCACGTCCACCCGCCCAAAGGTGTAGCCCTGAGGTAACGGGAGGAGGGTGAGAAGCAGGCGCGCGAGGGATGGCGAGATGAAAGAGGAGAGGCGGTAATGGGGGGTGTGCGAAGCAGGGTGGGTAAAGGACGGAAGTGAGGGGGAGCGTGGTTGGGAGAGGGGTAGGGGGAAGGATGGAGAGTGGGGTTGGTTAAATGCCCATTGAGGATGGTTGGCACTCAGATACCCTCCCAACCGATAATGCTCATTTTTATGCTGCTAGTGCCTGCTCACAGCTGTTGTTCCCGTTTATACTCGTTATTAATAGACTCACCTTGACGATCTGAACGCCGTAGGAGCGGTAGACGTGGATGAGAGGGCAGATGATGTCCGTGCCCACTTCAGGGATCTCCCTGGGGCATGCCGCTGAGTAGGCTCGGAACGGCTGCGACATCTGAGAGGGGAGAGGTAGGGGATTCCAATAGAGAGGGAAGAGGAGAGGAGGGGGCGGGGTAGGGTGCTTGGAGAGTGGGGCATGCGGGCAAGTAGGCTTGAAACGGCTGTGGCATCTGTGAGTGAGCCACACCACACCACGTCACAAAGCACCACACAAGACCGCATAGCATCCCTCTGACCCACCTGCACGCGCTGCACGATACCATTGCTGGTGTTCCACACCCTCAGAAGTGGCTCCTCCTGGTATGCACGTACAGCCGATACCCCCTCCCTGTTACCTACATGCCACTGCATAGAGCACCTCACTCTGCAGTACTGCACAGCACCACACACGACCACATACCACATCACCACACCACACAGCACTGTACAGCAACCCACTCAACCCACCTGCACGTGATACACTATAACATTGCTGGTGTTCCATATACGCAGTATCGGCTCATCCACCCGATGCACGTAGAGCCGATACCCCCTCCCTTTGGCCCCACCTCCCGATCGCAGCACTGTGCACGCATACTCCGGACCGAACAGCAGCCCTCGGGTGAGAATGAGGTGGTTCTGAAGCTCCAGAATGACCGTGGTGGAGGGAGGGTGGCGCCGGCGCTTGATGAAATCGGACTCCTTGGTCACGCGGACTTTCACGGCTGAGGTGAGGGGGGAGCACGCTGATCCTGTGACGAGGGGAGCACGCTGGGCCGCAGGAACTGAAGCAGGGCCATCAGGGTGAGGTTCGGCAGCAGAGTCAGGCTCGGCAGCAAGCAACGCTGCAGGTACGGGACGAGCTTCCTGCGCCATGGATGCGTCCAACCGAGCCATTGTCGCAGGCTCGGACCAAACCTGCTGTTTAAGCCATGGATTCATCCACTCCTGAGGCTCGGCCCATCGCAGAGACTGTGACTGTGCCTGTGATTGTGATTGTGATTGTGATTGTGATTGTGATTGTGATTGTGAGTGTGAATGCTCATGTGCTTGGTGTGACAGTAGCGAAGGTGACTCTGACTGTGACTGTATTTGCACGGATCGTGGACTGTCCGTATCGGATGTGTAACCATCCTCATCAGCGGCTGAATTAGTGTTATTCCTATGTGACACATGACGCGGATGCAGGTGGTACAGCGGCGAGTGGCGGGATGGCCCGTGAAATGCGCTCCTGTGACCTGCGATGAGCGCGAGGAAGGGAATGAAGGGACGAACAAGAGAAATCCGAAGTAAAGAGAATGATTGGAAGGAAGCGCATGAAGGAAATGAATGGATTAACATTCGAGCTGCTTCTCGTCTCACAAAGCTCTCGCATCCTCTCCAAACATTGCCTCTCAAAATCCCTCCTTTGAACTCTACCTGGAATCTGAGATCGCTATATCTGGCCATTCACTGAACTCTCAGCATCTGACCATTCACCTGCGGCTCGGACTAGCGCCATATGCGAACGCTGACTGAGAATGCAGAGCGCGAGGACGATCGCACGCAGGCTCAGCTTCGAAACAATCACTTCTGGTATCAGATTCGTCCACCACATTCCCCCGCGGCAGTCGCACTTGCGGCGTTCTGATAACAGAATTCTCCGCCGCCTCGTGCGAACCAGGCGAAGACAGGAGCGATATGTGCTACCATACGAATCTTCATTGCGAACCGGCGTCCGATCATGACGGGCCCTGGATTGCCTTTAAAGTCGCTTCTTGCTACCGCTGCTACGCGTTGAGCAACTGCGTACGCTTCTGGACCGGCTTTCCGAGATCATCTCTGTCTGAGTTAGACTCGAAGTTCTCTCCGAAACTTTTACCAAAAGACGACTTAAAGTTCACTCCAAGCCTTATTGAGACGTCTCAAAACTCAGTCAGAGTTAGACTCGAGGTTCTCTCCGAGCCTTTTCAGACGACTTAAAGTTCACTCCAAGCCTGGTTGGTTGGTTCACTCTCCAAGACTGGTCAGAACGAGGGGAGGCTGGCTGTTGGCTCGCTCGAATTCAGCTCACTCGCTGGAGTAGAGAGCCTCGAGTCTAACTCAGGTGAAGTTTGGCTTGCATAATACTTCTCGCTTTCATTGGCACGAAATCTCGTCTGAAGAATTTAACTGTCAATTATATGTAAGCACGCCGCGTCGTACGCCTACTACGAGCATAACATGACGTACGACTCAGGAGCGAAATCAGCCATTCCGACTGAGTTGACTCAAAAGTCAAGCTGTTTGGAACCGCGAAACTTGACCAACCGTATCTCTTCCGGAGGTTACTGCTCGTAGCCTTGATCGGGTCTCAAAAGTAGGCGAGATTAGTCGTCTTTCTCGATCCACACCGTCCACGTAAGGCCAGTCGAGCAAGTGCTTCATGGGGTTCGCGCCTAGGTTCAGGACTTTTGAAGAGGAGTAAGTGCCAGGCATTGTTGCAACAGGAGCGTGCTAAAACAAGCTGCAATACGACAGGTAAGTGCGTGTGTCGGCTTGGAACGGTAATCAATGACCACCATAGGTCTGTCAGTCCCGTTATCTCACTTGGATGAAACACAGCATACCTCCAGCAAGGCAGACTTGCGAGCTCGCAACAAAGCTTTGGCGGCGAACGCTTGATCTGTTACCCGAACGCTAGAGTACACCCCGGCACGGCGAAATCTCAGTTGTGTAGTGTTTGCGAAAGACATGAGTGGCACGACAGGTTGTGGATCTGCTGTACACGAACATTGACGAAACTTCGCTCGCTCGTCACTCACAACCACAAACAAGGGCGACGTGGGCTGGTCAGTGGGCGATGCACAGCACTGACCACGCATCCTGATGAAGGGATGGCGGGGCGGGTGGATCGAGCCTCGACCCCGCAGGGCTGCCCCATGGCGTCAGGAGGTAGGCGCGTGGTGAAGCCTGTGGTTTGTCCTGCGAACCACAATGCCAGCGAATACGATACTCAATACAAGCGCCAACAAGTGTCACATAATTTACAACACGTCCACCAATATTGAATCACATAGAGAATAGCAAGGTATTTTAATAGACACTTACCATGATTTATTTTGCTCAGGTGTCCACTCCACACTGCCTCCACCTACAGTAACTAATAAAATTCCCAGCATAAGCAAGCTAGTTTCTTTTGCTTCTAGTGGCCTGGTCATGGCCTGGATCTTGACATGCTGATCGAATGTCATCGTCCATCCATCCAGCATTTGGGCTTGCTCCCTGCTTGATCAATATGGATTGAATGCACAGGACACAACAGGGACTACTACACACACAGGCCATAACTGGAGCATACTTCTCCATTTTGCAATGGGCAAGGCCATCCGCGATAAAAGGTGCGGGCCAACCTGCTCATAGACTTGCAGGTTAGCATGGCCAATGGAATACAAGCATTGGACGACATTCATCTCGAAAACTCGCTACTCAATGTCAAGAAAATCCATCTGCTTCCGCAACATTCCCTTGAGCTCAGATGCTTCCTTTTCCTCTTTCTGGGCCTACAAACAGCAGGAAAGGAGACTTCGTGTCAAACAAAAAATACACTAAAGCTTAACGTGGCAAGCAGATTATGAGGGCTTCACATACCTGTCGAATCTGTTGTAACGAAACGGAAACCATATTAGGAGGCATTTCTGGCATGTGCTCGTCCTGAAAAGGCATACCGTAAATCACAATCAGCAAAATAAATTCAACCAAGAACGAAGAACAAGAGCCTCGTGAATCAGAGCAACTTACAAGTGTGCCTATGAGAACGACGTTCTCTCCTCGGATAATGTACAGTCCCAGAGGCAGGTCGCAGTATTGCTCGCCAACAACAATCCGCTCAGTCGTACGCTCCAGCACAAGATTAGCTGCGCACAGAACCCAGCAAAATCGATAAGTCGGTGGAACTGCATACGTAAACGTAAGCTTAGGAATGACCTGAGTGCCACGTACCGAATTGGTCGAAAGAGCGCAGGATACCGATTATTTTACGTCCATCTCTAAGAACAACGAGTAGTTTCTCTGCCAACACAAACGTCGAAATCGTCAATTAAGGACTCCCGTAAGTTCAAATTATCGGGCCAAGGCGAGGTGCTTACTGTCTAGCTCCTCAACAAGGCTCGATGTCCCAGGCAGAAATGGCAACCCAGCCCACGACATGCCCAGGAGTTGTCGCCGCTGCTACGATCCGTGGCTGATTACTTCAGCCGCTAACTAAGTGAACGGCAACCATTGAGCGAAGGGGAGATTAGTGGGCAAACTGGTAAGCGACACGGTTCGCGGGTAACGAACAGAGAAGGATCACGGGAACCCTAGTTTCTGATTCCAAATGTATGAATGTTCGTGGGTACACGTTGCACTTGAAGCTAGTACAACGAAATACAAAGTGAACTGTATACACAAGGATTTGTAAAGGAAGAATTGAACTGGAAATTGGGAAAACAAGGCAACACAAAAACTAAACAACTTTGTTACGATTACTCAGAAATTACAATGAATTAACGAATAACTAACTATGGAAACCCAACCGACAGGAAGTGAACCAGGAAGGCACCAAAGGCTACAACCATCAGAGCTACAATGTAGGATACCCCAAGTTCAATTCCCCTTGTGCCTGTCCTGAAATGAACCCACAAATTCAGAGAGTTTCCAGGAGGTTCCATTCTTATCACAACACAATCATCACCACATTCACTGGCAGATGCTTGCAGCCATGCCTGAACTGCAAATCTGGCTGCACAAACACGAGAGCCCCCGCATACAGCTTCAGATAACGATGCAGCATAGGAAGCAGCTGCTGGTGAATGATGATGCACAGCCTTCCTCATAATAGCAATAGAAACGGGCGAATAGTCCCTGAAAATAGAGAGAGGAACAAGAAAAAAGTGAGCGGAAGAATTGGAGAAAAGAAGAATCAAGCGCAGAATTGTGGCTAATTGTCCTCAATAGACGGAATCTTACCCAGGCATCCCCATGCCAGAGACAAAGGCCGCGACCAAAGAGACGGACAGCAGCAGCACAACAACACACAGCAGTATGGGCTCGCGAATCCAAATGGGTACTCCCCGAAACCTCGCGTTCAATGCCTGCAGTGCAGCTACAACCACTCGTATGACTCCCTGTGCTGCCCTATGTAGCGTTGTCGCCACGTAAGAGAATGCCATCCGCCCGTCTGATGCAACGGAGTTTGGTCTTGGGTTAGGAGGTGATATTCTGAGTGATAATGGGAGGGATCTCGCAGGCCCTGAAGCATGTATTGGGCTGGCCATGTCAACGAAATGAGGACACACCAGCAAGATCACTAGGGTTCCACAATGGGAAGGCGATCAATACTGGAACAAGACCGCCAAGGGAGCCTGAAGTATCTTTTCGGAAAAAATGCTGGGATGAGACAAAAAAGGCTGCGCGAGCATTCAGGAATTAATAACAATTCGCGAGTAGTGCGGATACGTCTGATTCGTCCGCCGTGTATCAGGTCTCCAGCTTTTCGGCTTAGGCCTATAGTGCACGGGTCTAAGCGCTCGCATATCGTCATTCGTGCGTCCATAACCATGTCATTCATATTGTTTGGCTCCCAAGAGCCACCAAGTGTCGCCCTTGGCTGACGACAGTCGGATCCGTCAAGCGCATAACTGCAGGCACGCATACAGACGCGAGACGAGGTGAAGAGTAGGATGACGCCCCAGTGGTCTAAGTACTAATCGGCGTCACAATCACTGGTTCTGCTTTTGTGCTCCACCTTTATGCTGATGGCATTCAAAGTCGTGGGGAAACCATTGTGACTCGTTATTGCGTATCTCGTACTGGAGATCTGATTCTAGCGGTAATGTTTAAGTTGTTGAGTTCGTGACATTACCTAAAAGAGCAGCATACACCATCGGGACTCCCGCCAGTTTCAGTTCAGACGGGTCAAAAGGTCTGACGAATTTGAAAACATTTCCCGCCAAATTCCTGAAGCAGTTCCCTAGGGTCCGCCTGCCACCAATCAGAGCAAACCACACCAGGCAATTCTGTTCGCTGTGGTGGGGATCCCAGGTTTCCAGTTCGCTGCGACTCGCTGGATGCCTGTGATCCACTTCCTGGGATGGCACGGTTCCAAACGTTTCCATTTGATTCAAGCTGTTTCAGTGCGGTGCTTCCCTTCTCTCTGTGGCTGATCAAACTTGCAAGCAGGCCAGCCATTCAGAAGGTCATTCTGGGAAACAGCGACTCTAGTCAACCCTTGTCACTCAGGCTGTGCTTTCCTTTCATCAGGTTTCGACTGCCAAATTAGCAAGGGCTGGACTACCACGTAATGCATAGAAGGCAGTAGCGTTGCACCTCTCGTGCAGCACATTAGAAGTCAGACTTGCTTTGTCAAAAAGGAACACCCCGTAGTCGTGTGGCTGGAAATATTCCGTGAGCATGGAGTTCAGGATTCCGAAAAATCTGGATGACCTCGAGCAGAATGACGACGAGTCCTCAGGGTGTCTCCATGCCACAGATATAGCAGAAGCGGCGATCGAGCCCAACCTTGTCAGAGGTACTAATTTTCTGGTATAAGCTGACAGCAAAGATCTTCCACCTTCACAGACTCAATACTTTCTTTCCAGCCACTTTTCAAAGGTGCTAGTTTGCTATGAATGGTTATTCTTACGGTATTGCGGTATTTTTCGTGCAGAAATCTCGCGTGAGCTCGGAGAGAAGGATGTTTTCTGCGTGCAGGAGCAAGAGACATTCAACAAACTATACTCGGCTGTCAAGTACGTCACCTAGGCATAGTAGGCAAAATGGGCCACACACGTCCGTTTCTTACCTTCCGTTTCTTTCTGACTCGCTTGGTTTCAACTCCTAGCCCGTTTCTACTGAATCCACAGAACCTTTCCAACACTATCGTGTTCATTTCTCCTCTTTCGCACTCCACCGTAAATTCTCTGCAGGTGCTTTGACCAGCTGGATGCCTCGTCCAAGGACCTTCTGATCGACTCCTTGGCAACGAATCTCAGCTGCCTCGTTCCATCAATCGCAGCATTCCTCGCGTCGTCTTCCGGCAGCTCGTCCACGTCAGCGGCTGACACTGACGTGTCCACATCAGGGCCGTCAATCAGCTCCTACAAGAACTGTATCAAGATTTACAGCTACTTCCTCGCATGTATCGTCAAGCACGCAGCTCTTGCCAAGGCGACCGAAAATGCCGACCGTCCTTCTCAAAAGGTAAGGCAGGCTTAAACTAGGATCCTGGACTAATTTTATGAAATCCTGAACTTGAAATGTTTTCCGCGAGGCTCGAATTGATCCCAGACCAACAATAACCTGCATCTATTCGTCCTCGTTCTTTGTTCCCTCCTCGGTCCCTCCTCGTTCCTTGTTCCCTCCTCGGTCCCTCCTCGTTCCTTCCTCATTTGTCTCTTTAGGGGGGTCGCCAATCGCGGAAGAAGGCGGTGGTGTCCCACTCGTGGGAGTGGCAGCGCCAAATGCCCAAGGTGCTCAAGGCGCTCGCTACAGCCACATCAGTTAGGCTCAGCTCTCTTTACCACGGCTCCGCGCCAGAAGAGAGCCTTATGGAAGCTTATTGCAGCCTGGCGTTCACGCTCTTTGAAGATGCCGAATTGCTAAAAAACGGGGATGTTCGCGCGCCGCTCGTGCAGATTTTGGCGCAGTGCGCCGTGAAGCAGGGGTACCTGGTGCAGGTGGTATCTGGCCTGCTGCATCTGCTGCACCACCAGAAGCACTCCCCCGATGTAGTCACGGACGTGGTGGTGTACGCGGATGAGCAGCTGGGGCAGGCGAGCCTGGCGGCGGCAGTTCTGCAGGACGTGGGGAGGACGGGGCTGAAAGAGTATAGCCGCGCGAACAGCGGCGTGCACGAGGTGAGTCCGGGCTCGGTTGCGTGAGATGTGCGCCTTTGGGTACCTAAACGGTTTTGCGGGACGTGAGAGGACGGGGCTTCAGTAATATAACCACCCCATGCCCCCGTATCTTATTCTTGTGTACATCAGGTGGCGGAGTTCCTCGTCGCCCTCGCCAACAAGCAGCCTCGCCTGCTCGCCGCATCCCTGCCGCTGCTCGTGCCGCACCTCGAACACGGGGAGTCCGCCGTGCTCCGCTGCGCCATCGTCACCGCCATCAGCCGCCTCCTCGCGCGTCTCTACTCCGCCGACGCTGGCGGAGCGCCTGGCGGAGCAGGGTCTGCGGCAGGAGACGGGGGCGCGGAGGGGAAAGGAGCGGAAGGGGACGAGGACGGGGAGGGCGGAAGGGATTCCGCGGGTGGCGCGGAGGAGGAAGGCCCCGCGGCGAGGGGCGCGATACGTGCGCGGCTGCAGCGGCTGCGGAGCAAGCAGGGGCTGCTGGCGGTGCTGATGGAGCGCGCGCGCGACCAGTCCGCGCACGTGCGCAGCCGGGTGATGCAAGTGTGGGCGTGGCTGTGCGGGGAGAAGGCGGTGCCTCTGGGGCACTGGAATGCGGTGGCGGAGCTGGCGGTGGGGCGGCTGGAGGACAAGTCGTCGCTGGTCAGGAAGAATGCGTTGCAGGTGAGAGGGACATGGGTGGATTGAATCTTGAGGGAGCGGTGGGAGGTGCCCTGCCTATTTCTGGGGTACTGAGACGCAGTTTTCTGCTCTAGCACATGCTGCCGCCCTGGCAAGTGACTGTACGAGGTCGTGAGTATATGGGATTTGGCTGTGGTAGATGGGACACGGGTCGACGAGGGTGGGTGAATATGTGTGTCTGATGGGAAGACACAAAACAACTGTACACCCCTCAGTTGAGCAACCGTACAGTTGACGAGAGATGGTTGGGTGTCTCCACAGCTGTATGCGCACTCCCACCTGCCTTCATGGCTGTGTTTTCCTTCCATTCTTCGATCCCCACTCTTCCAAAGCCCCCCTTGGAGATCACCCTACGAAAGGCATGTCTCGCCCATGGTAGTCGCGCCCTCCACACCTCTTTCCACCAATGTCCACCACTCCCAACCCCTCTCAACAGCTCCTGGGCGAGATGCTTCACCAGAACCCGTTCGGCCCGAGTTTGCGGGTGGCACCATTCGAGGTCACCCTGGAGAAGGCTCGTGTGGAGCTGGCAGCCATGGAGGAGAGCCGCCGGCGCGCCGAAGAGCAGGAGGCCAGGGAGGGAGGCGAGGGCGACGGTGATGGAGAGGGTGAGGGCGAGGGGGTGGAGGGCGCAGGAAATGAAGGGGCAGGACCAGCGGCTGCAGCAGTGGAAGTGGGGGTGGGGGGGGATTCTGAAGGAGGTGTGGGTGATGATAGCTGGGTGGACTCCCAGGCGACCCAGGGAGACGGGGAGGGACAGGGAGAGGGAGGCAAGGCAGGAGGTGCTGCTGGTGCTACTGCAGAGGGGCTTCCAGACGGAGCTGCTGGGGCAGCAGGGGCAGCAGGGGCAGCAGGCGAAGCAGGCGGGGGGGGGAAGGCGGTGCTGGGGCGGTCGTTCGGGGTGGAGCAGACGCGCACGCTGGTGGCGTCGCTGAGCGCGGGGCTGCAGTTCTGCCGCCTGCTGGCGGCCGTGACGGGCGCGCTGGCGGCGCTGCTGGGGTCGAGCGCCGTGTCGGACGTGGAGGGCGCCATCCTGCTGCTCACGGCGCTGCAGCACTTCCGCGTGGACGGGGCGAGTGAAAGGCTTAAGAAGATCCTGCCGCTGGTGAGATGGGATACGAGTGTGAGGAAGGTGACTGGTGAGATGGGACGCAGCACTTCCGCAGGTATTCTCGCATGACCCAGCAGTGCGAGCAGCAGTGGAGGCGGCAGTGCTACGTGAAGGGGCGAGCCTCATCCCGTCCCTTCCTTCGCTTCCCCATCCCCCGCAGGTCTTCTCCCCAGATCCTGCTGTACGAGCAGCAGTGGAGGCGGCAGTGCTGGAGCTGCACGTGAAGGGGCGAGGGCGAGCCACCCTCAGGGCTCTCACACGTCTCTCTCGCCTTCCCATCCCCCCTCCCTCCCGTATCCAGGTCTTCTCCCACGATCCTGCTGTACGAGCAGCGGTGGAGGCGGCAGTGCTGGAGCTGCACGTGAAGGGGCGAGGGCGAACCACCCTGAGGGTTCTCACCTCCCTCTCAGCTTTCCCTCTCCCTCCCGTTCACCTCAGGTGTTCTCCCACGATCCTGCTGTACGAGCAGCGGTGGAGGCGGCAGTGCTGGAGCTGCACGTGAAGGGGCGCTCATCCCAGCAGGCAGCGCGCAGCCTCGTGGCTCTCACGCACGGCGCCTCCTCTGGCGACCTGGCGGCGCTGGAGGTGCTGGTGGGCACGTTGGTGCACAATGGGGATGTCACCATGCAAATGGTGAGTGACATGAGGCGATTGAATGGGAGTTTGGTCAGGTGAGAATGGTATCCAGTGAAGCTGGTAAGGTGAGCAGACTGACTCGTGAGAGCCTAGAAATGTCCCTGTCAGCCTGGCGGCGCTGGAAGTGCTGGTGGGCACGTTGGTGCACAACGGAGATGTCACCATGCAGATGGTGAGCTGATTGCAGGCAGAACGGGATGACGGGGGGATGGCAGTGTTGGCCTCGGAGCTTCTCTTGTCTTGGCGTTGTTTTGTGTCTCTGTTTTTGTTTTGGCATCGAATTGTTTCTCTCCCCTTCGCTTCTGTTCCGAACCTCCTCTCTTTCTCTCCTCCCTCCTCTCCTCTCTCCTTCGCCCGTAACCTCCACCAGGTGACCATCCTTTGGGACATCTTCACTTTCAACTTGCCAGGAGCCACGTCAGCAGAGAGCACAGGCGCGCTGATCCTCCTCTCCATGGCCGCAAAAACCCGCCCGGAAATCCTCAACCACCATCTGAGCGCGCTCCTAGCCATAGGCCTAGGCAGGCGGGCTCAGAGCGACCCTCTCCTCGCTCTCTACACCTGTATCGCCCTGCAAAGGGTTTCCGAGGAGGTTCGGGAGGAAATGGGGGCGGGGCACAGGGTATTTGCGCTGCTTGAGGGGGTTATTTCGGGCAGCTCTCTGGAATTGCCTGAAAGGGCGAGGTATGGTGTGATGGAGCAGGCGGTAAGGGCGGTTTATGTGCTGCATCCTGCGCCGGAGAGGTACTGTGGCGTGCTGCTGAAGAAGCTTGTAAAGGGGATGTTTGGACGGGGTGCTGCTGTGGTGGGTGGAGGAGGGGGAGGTGGGGGGGGAGGGGAGGGTGAGGGTAGGGAGGGAAGTTGCGTGAGTGGTGTTGTTGATGGTAGTGGGGAGGCCGGTAACGAGGACAAAAATGGTACAGGAACGAGTGGGGAGGAGGGAATGACAAGCAGCAATGGGGATGGCAAGGATGCTGATGCTATTGCTGGTGCTGATTCTGACGCTGATGCTCCGAGCACTGGTGCAAGTGGTGCTGATAATGGTGCTGACTGTGCTGGTCTCCCTGCTGCTGCTCCAACTGCTGCTGCTGCTGCAGCTACAGCTGGTGGTGGGAGTGAGAGAGGTTTTGAGACTTCCCTTAGGAGATTTGACGCTGCAAAGCTCTCAGCTTTCGTTTTTGTGACCGGGCAGGCTGCCCTAGAGCACTTGGTCCACGTGGAGAGGCTCGTGCGCCGCATCCGGGCAGCCCGCGCAGCAAAGGAAAAAGCAGAGGCTGAAGCAGCTGCCGAAGCCATGGAGGCCAGCCTGACCGGGAAAAAGCCAAAGGCAGGCAGGAAGAGCACAGGCCGGAAGAGTACAGTCTCTGGGGCAGGGAAGAGGAGAAGCGTCGCTGCCACCCCTGCAGTGTATGAGTACGAGAGTGAAGAAGAGGAGTTGGGCGTAGAGAGTGTGGGCGTGAGGGAGGAGGAAGAGGAAAATTCGGGTGATGGAGGGGACAGCGGGGGAAGGGGGGATAAGATGGGGGAGGAGCTGGGGACGGCAGTGACAGCAGAGGCGCAGCTAGAGGCGCTACAGGAGCAGGTGGAGGGGGAGATAGTGGCCATGGAAAAGGGGCTGGAGAGGAGGCGGGGCGAGGGGCGGGAGTACCTGGTGGGGCGGGTGGCGTGGTTTATCTCGGCGCTGTGCAGGCGACCTCAGGCGTTTGCAGCGAGTCAGGGAGTGTATGTGTGTGCTGTGCTCTCATTGTCCAAGCTCATGGCCATCGACAGCCACTTCTGGTGAGCTTCCCTTCCTCGCCGTGACTCAGCTTGACTCACTCACTTTGAATCAACTTTTCTCACTCTGAATTATCTTGACGACCCTCGATGCACCTTGACGCACCCTGACGCACCCTGACGCACCCTGACGCACCCTGACTCACATTGACTCAACTCCTCTCCTCCCTTCTCCCCCCTCCTTCCCCACCCACAGCGAGTCCCACCTGCAGCTGCTCTTCACACTCCTCCGCACCCATCCGCACCCCTCTGTGCGCGCCAACGCCATGGTGGCCCTAGGGGACCTGGCTCTGCGCTGCCCCAACCTGCTGCAGCCGTGGACGCCCCACTCGTACACCGCTCTCAGCGATGGGGACGCGTTCGTGAGAAGACAGGCGCTCTTGGTGCTCTCTCACCTCATTCTCAACGACATGATGAAGGTGGGTCTGGTTAGATGGCTTCACATGAAGCCCTCAGCCTTGGCCACCCCACGCATACACTACTCTGCTCCGTGTCACTTTTGAGTCAACTCAAAAGTCACCTTGAAGTCCTCAGCCATGGGCACCCCACGCATACACTACTCTGCTCTGTGTCACTCAGCACCGTCGGCATCATGTCATGCTGAAGACGATGTTCCGTAGTTTTGAGACGTCTCAAAGAACTTATCAGTCAGCACCCTCGTCGTCAAATCATGCTGCTGTTCCCTATCTGCTCTTACACCCGCCCTTCCTCTCTCTCCCTTGCCCGTCCCCTTTCTCCCCCCGTACCAGGTGAAGGGGCACATCAGCAGCCTGGCAGTGTGTCTGGAGGACCTCTGTCTTCCCATATCTCCACTCATCTCCCCCTCCTTCCGCTCCCGTTTCTCCCTTCGCCATTCACTTCCCCCCCCCCTCCCCCCCACCTCAACCCCCACGCCAGGTGAAGGGCCACATCAGCAGCCTGGCAGTGTGTCTGGAGGACCCTGAGCCGCGCAACGCTGACCTTGCCCGCCTCTTCTTCCACGAGCTCTCCAAAAAGGGTGAGAAGGGCTCTCGTCTCTTCACTCCTGGTTGCACTGCCTGCTCCATCTCTGCCTCCTCATCATATTCCTCCTCTGCTGTTTCTGTTGCTCCCGCCCGTACACTCCTACCCTGCCATATCAGCGTCTGTCACCTGTCCACGCTCTTCCCTCCTGCCCGTCCCTTCCATATGCTCTTCACCCCAGGCTCCTCGCTCGTCCACATTCTCCTCCCTGACATGCTTAGCCACAAGGCGGTGGACGCACCGCCTCTCAGAAGGAGCAGGGCTCATTGACAGGCTCACCCTCCACCCCACTCCACCCCACTTCATCCTTTCCCTTCCACCCCACCGTCCCCTCTTATGCTGTATTCGCCAGGCTCCTCTCTGGTCTACAATCTCCTCCCCGACATGCTGAGCCACATGGCGGTGAACCCACGTCTCTCAGAGCCCTCACTGCACGCCATCCTGCGCTTCCTCATCGCCTTCATAGACAAGGACAAGCAGCGCGAGGGGCTCATCGACAAGCTCTTCCCTCACTCTATCTCTCCACTTCCCCCTCCCTTCCCCACTCGCCTCGTGCTGTGCCCCCTCCCCGCCCCTCCGTTGGCACTCCCCCCCCCCATTTGCTCCTTTCCTCCCACCAGGCTCCTCTCTGGTCTACAACCTGCTGCCGGACATGCTGAGCCACATGGCGGTGAATCCTCACCTCTCAGAACCCTCGCTGCATGCCATCCTGCGCTTCCTCATCGCCTTCATAGACAAGGACAAGCAGCGCGAGGGGCTCATCGACAAGCTCTGCCACCGCTTCACCAACGCCCACCCCGCATCCTCCTCGGCTGCTGCGTGTATTACTGCTGGTGCTGCTGCTGCTGCTTCTATCGACGTGGTTCCTGCTGGGACTATGGCAGATGCAGCTGCTGCCAATGGCGCTACCAGTGGTGCTGATGCCGATTCCATGTCTGCTACTTCTCCCGACATGGATCCCACTGCTGCTTCTGAGGAAGGCATCAGCACCAACAGCAGCGACAACAGCGGCACTACTAAGAACGCCAACGGTAGCAGCAGCAGGGGTGGCAGGGACGGGAGGGTGCAGCAGCAGCGCATGGTGGCCTTCTGCCTCTCCCTGCTGCCGATCTCCGAGCGCGGTGCACGGAGGCTGATGGACAACTACAAGGACATGAAGGACGCCCTGGGGGACGCTGCCGTGCTGGAGTACCTGAGGACCGCCACTGGCAAGGTGCGTGAGTTCCCTAATTCCCCTGCTTCACTTTCTGGTGAGTTGGCTCCGGTGCTGTGGTGGTGCGCGGAGGCTGATGGACAACTACAAGGACATGAAGGACGCTCTGGGGGACGCTGCTGTGCTGGAGTACCTCAAGACAGCCACTGGGAAGGTGCGTAGGGTCTGGGGTTGCGGTGCTGGGGTGCTTTATGACTGCCAGTGGCAAGGTAAGTGGACTGTGGCGGTGCACGGAGGCTGATGGACAACTACTAGGACTCGAAGGACGCTCTGGGGGACGCTGCTGTGCTGGAGTACCTGAGGAGTGCCACTGGCAAGGTGCGTGATCTCTGGGGGTTGTGATGGTGGAATGACTGGGGGTGGCGAATGGCAGCACCACTGGCAAGGTGAGTGCGCTTGGACTGGGGGTTGTGGTGGTGGAGTAGCGGAGGCTGATGGACAACTAAAAGGACATGAAGGACGCTCTGGGGGACGCTGCTGTGCTGGAGTATCTAAGAACGGCCACTGGTAAGGTGCGTGGGCTGTGAGAGTGTGGGACTGGGTTGTATCAGGACCGCCAGTGGCAAGGTGAGTGGCCTCTTGGGGTGCACGGCGGCTGATGGACAACTGCAAGGACATGAAGGACGCGCTGAAATATGGAAGAAAATCAATCCCTTTTTCCCAATCCGCTCCCCCCATTCCTCCAGTCCCACGAGACAAAGAAGTTTGCAACGCCAGAGCTGAGGGAGAAGTCGGAGAGGTTTGAGGAGCTTACCTGCATGTTACATGCATTGCACATTACAGAATAGCAATATTCCCAACCACCCCATTCCTCCACCCCCACCAGGCAAAGAAGTTTGCAAAGCCAGAGCTGAGGGAGGAGTTGGAGAAGTTCGAGGAGCTGATGGGGAGGACGCACGAGGAGAGGAGGGAGGAGGAGGAGGCGTCTGCTGCCGCTGCTGCTGCCATCGCTGCCAAGGCTGCCAAAGCCGCTGCTAAAGCCACTGCCAGGGATGCTGCTAGGGAGTCTGCAGAAGATGCTGCTCAGGAGCCTGATGGGAATGCTGGGGATTCTGGAAATGCTGGTGGTGATGGTTCTGGAGATGCGGAGTGCGATGGTTCTGGTGGTGAAGAGGCACGAGCAGGAGAGGATATGGAGTGTGATAGTGAGGTGGAGGAGGTTGAAGAGGATGACGAGGTCGAGGAGGTGCAGGAGGACATTTCTGGGAAAGAGGAGGAAGAGGAGGAAGGAGGGATGAGTGTGAGGAGTAGTAGCCGTAGTGGTGGTGGGAGGAGCAGTGTGGGTAGTAGGGGGAAGGAGGAGAGGGGGAGGGGAGAGAGTCCAACCAACTGCGCGAGGAAGAGCAGAAGCAGCATGAAAGGTGGGAGGGCTGGGGGAGGTGGAGGTGGCCGGAGGAGGAAGCTGGTTGCATGGAGTAGCAGTGAGGAGGAGAGTGGGGAAGAGAGTGTGGAGGGGAGTGGACACGAGAGTGAGGAGGAGGTGGTGGTGCAGAAAAGTGGGGGCCGAGGGGGGCGGGGAAGTAATCAGAGGAGGGCAAGTGCCACAAAGGAAGCAGAGGAATCAGAGGAAGGAGAGGGAGCAGAGGTAGAGGAGGAGGCAGAGGAGGTAGAGGAGGAGAGTGAGGGTGTTGAGGAAGAAAGTGACGGTGACGAGGAGGGGAGTGAGGGAAGAGAGGAGGGGGTTGAGGTGGATGAAATGGATGTTGAGGAGGTTGGTGAGGAGGAAGGAGTCGAGGAGAGTGAGGAGGAAGGGTATGAGGAGGACGAGGAAGAGGAAGAGGGGAAGGAGGATGACGAGGGAGATGTTGTGGCAGACAAGGGCCAGGCGTTTAAGGTTGAATTGAGGCCTGTTGGGGAGAGGAAGCTTCCTGGCAGGCAGGGAGGCAGTGAGGGGAGGAATGGCGGGATCGAGAACGTTGTCTTGAGGCCAGTGGGCGAGAGGAAGGGCAGGGGGAGGGGCCAGAGGAGAGCGGTTATCGAGAGTGACAGTGATGGGAGTGATAGTGATGGAGGGGGTGTGGCTGAAGGGGGCGGGACGGCCATGAGACGGTTGAAGAACAGGCGGGCTGCATTGCTTGGGAGTGAGAGTGAGAGTGAAGGGGAGATGGACAGGTGTGGGAGGAAATCGCTTGGAAGGAAGAAGCCTGCCTCTCCCAGGTAAGCGCAGTCTTTCAAGCATTTCTGAGTGGATATGAGTCTTTGATACCCATGAGAAAATAGGCTTACCGGTATTTACTTTGTCGGTGTTTTGGTTTTTGTGGATGCAGAAACCCATTGCTCCCAATCGCCAACAAGGTCTAATTATGGTCATGTCCTGCAGTTGCTAACGAGACAATATAAACATCTTGAACTTAATGTTTATTCCCCTTTCAGATGTAGCTTATAAAATATATACCCAACTGAGAAATAGTGATACATCATGTAGTTTAAACATACCGTATATGTTTGCTCATGTAAATCACTAAGAGTTTGCTGAGACCTAGAATGTATCATTTGGTGAACTATTTGTTTTGCAGTGATTCTTCCATTCTCTCATCCTCAAACACCCATGCTCTCCGTCTTCTCCGCCTTTAGGCGGCCATGGATTCTGCCGAGTCAACTACGGTCAACATTCTCGTTAGCATGCCTTCCGCCATTCCGCTTCGGTTAACAGTATCGTCTTTAACGATCAACATGGAATACCAGTCATTTTTGCTGACCTTGGTTTCTCCAGTTATAAGGCGACAACTCGCGGAGTTTATCAGGCATTCCCGGGGTTTCCAGGCTCCAGCTGATCATGTCTCGCATCATGGTTTCAACACACATACATTGTTCAACAGCAATTGTTTTAACTATTCTATTATTAACAGTGAAGCTACCAAGGTCGCAACCTCGAGAACGCACCACCTACTGCTCGAGTTACTGGAGCCTGACAAGGCCAGGACACTACTTAAAGTTTCCGTGCTCAGTCATCAGGCATCAACTGCAATCTTTGAGGGTGCTCGGCACGCTCTCCTGCTGCCTGCTTTTCTTCATCCTCGCACGATGTCTCATCCGGCTGATGTCCCGGTTTTGCCTAAGGGACAACGCTCACGTCCTGCTTCGGACCCGCCATCTCCCACGGAGGTTGATAGCTCCAATGGCATCCAGGCTCCTGCAGTCATTGACAAGGACAAGGCGGTGTTGTCAGATGCTGGTGGTTCTGGATTATCTGCTGCTGACAAGGTTACGGTACCTTCAGTTGGGCTTGCTGACGACGAAGGTTTCATTGATGACGACTCCGACGACGAAATGATCATTGATCTGGTTAAGGAAGCCAGCTTTGGTCTGCGCTCGGTCGCAATCTTGCTGATTCCCTTTATGCTGCATAAGGAAATTTCCTGCGTGATTGATGTTGTCAAGGCACTGATAAAGCATGGGTGGTACACATAATTATCAGATGACGCTGCATCAGCGACAAAGTTCCAGCATATTGAGACGTCCTATATTGCCAAGACGTGCTTCTGTCGTCTGCAAGTATCTTTCGCGATGGAATCTGATGCGGATTGGGTGCGGAAGAAGGAGGTGATTTATCAGCCTCTTAAGAATCAGGGTCAACTAATTACCCTTCACTGGCAACACACTGAGGACTCGGCCTTCGCCCGAGAGAAGGCATTGAACCCGCACGCCATCGAGTTCTCGGTCATGGGTGTCTCTGCTGCTGTTGAGCTGATCCTCATTCATGATCGTCTGGTGACTTACCCGCTCACGAGTACTAAGTGGTCGGCATTTTTGCGTTGCACTTGCCTGCATCGAATGCTTCACCCTGTCAGTGGAGCTGATACGGATGTCGTAAAGGGACTGGTTTACGCTCACCCTGAGAACCTGAATCGTCGATGGATCCACATGATCGCTGGCCCTGCTGACCAGGCGAAGAAGCTGCTCGTCCATTATCCGACCTTATCCTGTTCGCTCTGTGGCAGCAAGCATTTTGATAAGTACCATGATTCTTTTGTCGCTGAGCGTCAGAATAATGTTAGTAAATGGAACCTTACTCTTGGCAGAGTGCACAGACTTAACGGTAAAAGCAGCAGCCTGCTTCACGCTCGTTTTCCGCTTCGCTTATCCCTTTCATGCACTAACCTCTCTTCGAATCTCCGCAGCCGCGTCGCTGAAAGCGTCATCGATTTTTCTCCCCATCCTCCGCGATCCGGCTATCGCTCTCGTCTCCACCGGCAGCAGCAGGGAAGAATGGATCTGCACGCAAATGGGCTGCGAAAGGCAAAAGGGAAGAGTCTCATGGCGGCTGCCGATCACATCTCTGCAGCTGCTCATCTGCTAGAGCTAGCGAAGGCTGGCTCGGCCACGAAGGAGTCACTCGACAAGTTGAACCTCGATGTCATCCGCAAGGAGTGCGGACTGTGAAATGGTTCGAGCGTTGCCTGGATACAGCGGTCTGTTGCTGTTTAGGAGTCGGTGTCAGATGTACCGTTTTCTCTATCAGCATGTGGATGATCAGGGGCTGCAAGGCAGTTACACCATGATTAAGAAAAACCACCTCACCATCTCGAGCCTCAATGTTAACAGATTATGAGACAAAGCTAATCAGAGCCGTGTAAACAGTTGGTACAGTCAAGCATGAGATATTGCAGTACTAGTAGACACTAGAATAGGCGAAGACCCTACTTACTGGAAGAGACTTGTGAAAATGAAGAACAAGGATGGTTGAACTATGAATGAAGTGAGTACATATAGGAAACCCTAATTGGGTTGTACCCCCTATGGGATACCCCACTATAGCCTACACAACAGCATAAGCTATATAATGTTCTGACACACCCCCATAGGCAAAGTGGGGGAGAACAAGGGGTCACAAGACCAGTCAAGCAAAGCAGAGCAAGCTCAGGGTGGATCACAAAGTCACCACACAGTCCGAGCACAACGACAAGGCCACAAGGCCAGTTCACATGCAGGAGTACACATATATATATAGAGCTAGACAAGCAAGAGCAGGTATATATATGTAACAGTACAAGCAAGGTCAAGAAGAGAGCAAGTGAGGCAAGACAGGTACAAGACCCAGCTGGGTGCAGAAGCGCTGATGGTCACAAGGCGCAAGTGCCTTGGTGAACACATCAGCAGTGTTGGCCTCAGAGGCCACGTAAGCAAGTCGCAACTGACCACGCTGCTGCAGCTCACGAGCAAGAAAGTAACGGAGAGCAATGTGCTTCGTTCTGTGCTCCAAGCGCTGCTCTCGACACAAGGCCAGCATGGCTTTGTTGTCTACGTACAGCACTGGAGGAGAACGAGGCGGCTCTCCAAGGTCAATCAGCAGGTAGGTGAGCCAGCGAAGCTCCTGTGCAGCCATGGCCCCGGCGTAGATCTCAGCCTCACAACTGGAGCTGAGAACAGAGGACGAGCGAGTAGCCCGCCACGAGACAGAGCCGGAACCAAGACTGAAGGTGTAACCCTGCGACGACCGCTGTGTAGCCTGGTCGTCTGCCCAAGAAGCGTCCGCGTGCCCAGTGAGGACCACTGGACTCCGCCCTCCAAGCACTAGCCCCATGCCCGACGTACTGCACAAGTAGCGCAACACCCTCTTAGCTGCAGCCATGTGCTCTGGTCGGTGTCTCCCAGGAGCAACATAGCGTGCGAGAATGCTAAGAGGGTATGCAAGGTCAGGTCGTGTACAGGTCATCAGGTACATGAGGCAGCCAACAAGCTCTGGGTACGGGCCACTCGACTCTACGGACTCATCCGAAGGCAGAGCTGAGAGCGAGTGGCGAGTAGACAGAGGAGTGGCCTGAGGCGAGGAGTACGTGAAGCCGAAGCGCTGAAGGACCTGCTGCACCATGTGTGACTGAGTCAAGGTAATGGTGCGGCGTGCTCTGTCCCGAGTGATCTGCAAGCCAAGGTAGCTGCGCAGTTCACCCAGGTCTGTGCACGTGTGTCTCTTCTGCAGCTCGGACTTCACGTAGGCTAGTCCAGCAGTGTCAGCTGTGGCAAAGACCAAGTCGTCGACATACACGAGGACGTAGAACGGCGGCAAAGAAGTGTCGGTGCGCAGAAACAACGACGGGTCAGCAGTAGAGGGAGCAAACCCAAGAGCCGCAAGCGTAGTCCTCAGTGTGTCGTGCCACTCACGCGGTGCCTGGCGGAGACCGTAGACTGGCCGTCGGAGGCTCCACTGGGTGCCAGGAGGAAAAGTCCCAGTGAAGCCAGGTGGACGGCGCAGCCAGATCTCCTCGTGCAGGCTACCCTGCAAGAAAGCAGTACTGAAGTCAAGAGAGTGGAGCTCATAGTCGCGCTGAGCGGCTATGTGCAGTAGCACCCGAAGAGTGGTCATCTTCGGGGTGGGAGAGAAGGTCTGAAAGTAGTCAACTCCCTGCCGCTGACTGAAGCCACGAGCGACGTACCGCGCCTTGAAGACAGGTGGAGAGCCCGGCGGCCGCTTCACCCTGAAGATCCACATGCCACTGACGATGTTCGCCCCAGGAGGGGGAACCGCGTCAACGTAGGTGCCTGTGGACTTCCAGGACGCCATCTCTGCATCCATAGCTGCCTGCCACTGAGAGGAGTAGGGACCCTCTACGGCCTCCGCGTAAGAGCGCGGAGTCGGGATGTCTAGTGCATCCGGGTCTCCCTCAGGGGCAAGTAGTACGGACGCGAGATGAGGTGAAGCAGCAGCCAGACACCGGAACTCCTCCTGCCTGTCCTCAAGGACGTCCGTGCCAAGAGCACACTCACCCCCGACGGACGGAGGACAGACAGACGCAGACTCAGCAACAAGACCGGCAGCGTAGTCTAGACGACAGCGAGCAGCAAAGTCGACGAGCTCAGCAACAAGCGCAGACGCAGCAGTGGACTCAAAAGAGGGGTCAGTGACGACAGTAGCAAGGAGACGTGTGACAGCAGGACTGGCAGCACGAAGAGAGTCCGACTCCGGGTCAGGAAGAGCAGGAAGAGAGGACTCAGGAGGAGAAGGCAAAGGGGCACGCAGAGGAGCAGTGGACGGACGCAGAGACATCCGGTGCGTGCCAGGGACAGGAGGAGGACGCTGACGCGAACCACGACCACTAGTGCGAGCAGCACGGACAGGCGACGCAGGGCGAGACGCAGGCTCACGACGCTCAGCAAGACCTCCAGTGGGACCAGTGTAGGGAGAAGGAGCGGGCAGTGGGGAGGCCGGCCGTAACTGTAACT